TCTATGATTCTATGATTCTCTTGCTCAAAGCAGGACTGTCACTAACCTTTACTGTGGCTTTGTCCAGCAGAGTCCTGGAAACCTGCAAGGACAGAGATTCCATGACTTCTTTGGGTGACAGTTCCACAGCTGTACCAGTCTCCTAGTGAAGAAAGTTCCCCATTTGCTACTTCGATATATGTGTACATGTGTGGGTGTGTGCGTATATATAAACATTTCTTGGTCTTCTGCAGTATTGTTTCATGTTTCTTCCAGACAAATGAGATATTTTAGGAAACACTATGAACTTTCTCTGATTTCTTTTTTTTTTTTAAATAAAATTTGATATCAGTGCTGTGGGAAAAAAATGTTCCTCCCCAAATACATAAACTGTATTTCCAGCTATACTGAATGACTTTGATTTCTTAGCCCTGTGTTGCCCAAAACACAGATTGTGCTGTTATTTCTTGTTACTACTAGTTACTACTCTTTGCACCTTATCTTGCGTGGTCTGGGTGTGCTGGTTGTGTTGCTTGAGGCTCTCACAGCTCTTGCAGCGCAGAGGGGCAGGAGAAGAGAGGCTCCAGAGGGACTCAGCCAGGATCACTGCTGCAGAAGGACCCTCTCTTTATTGTCCCCCCTTGACTTGCTGCGTTCTCCTGTGCTTTTACCCTTAGATGTCTCTCTACGGAACAGTCTTCCACTGGTGCAGCCACAAGCTCAGCTTTCCCCTAACAAGGGTGTTTTGGACTACCTGGAGTCTGAAATCCAAAACCTTAACATGTCCCAGCTCCGGCCGCCCTCCCACCAGCGGCAGGCTGTGCAGCCCAGCCTGCTGTCCTCCCTGGGCTCCGAGATCATGCCGCCTCCTCTTGCTGACCACATCTCCTCCATCCATGGGAGCAGCAACTCCTCACGGCCACAGAGAGCTGCCCGCACCCCCAGACCCTGGGACTCTGCTGCAGAGGACAGGAGGGAAAACAGGAGGTGGCCCTTGCCTTCCAGTGGGGATTCTCATTCCAGCTACAGTCAGGAGCCCTGGGACAGGCAACGAGAGGACCATCCTCAGAGGCAGAGGACAGGCGGCTACAATGGCAGGCCCCAGCACTCCAGACAGGATGTGTCGCCCCTACGCCGGGCTGAGAGGGGCAAGAGCAGCAGCAGCAGCTCCAGTTTCTATCCAGAGGAGGCCAAGGAGCGCTCCAGACACCATCATGGCTGGAGACAGGAGCCCGCAGGGAGGCGGG